GTGTCAAATTTTAAAGATGCAGCTGACTGATTGGTCGACGTGGTCCTGTTAGAGTTTTCTTCTTTATAATCTGAGCTGTGAGGTGTGATGAGTAGGAGGGCTGAGGATACCAACGCTAAACCAAATGTTTATTATTTTAATGGGTTGTCGTACTACTAGTAATCATGCTGGTGATTGTTATATTGTGAAATTAGATGGAGAAGACTGCATGCACGAAAGAAGAGACGGATTCTAATACAAGGGAATATTTCTGTTGCGAAGACTACATTGAAAAGCTTTTCTTGTTTTCTTGACTGGGCTGGGCGTTAAAGCTGTTAAAGTCTATCTGAGATGTGTCTTGATGAAATCATACTGCAATAATGGGACCTGTGGACTTTTCAAAACCTGAATCTTAATTGAGAGCTTGTTGTGAATGTTGTTGTAAGGGCTTAGGAAGGTTCTTCCAAGGCATTTCCAGCCAAGTTATCTGAACACTGTGATGAGACAAATGGGTGGTTTGAAATGATGAAGGGGTACGCAGTGATGCACAGCAAAGCATCTTATTAAGCTGTTTCAGTCAAAGTTTTGTGTCTAACAAGACCTGGGTTTGATAGTGTTTGCAACTAATACAGTGCCGCGGGAATGAGTCTTAAAACCTGGAAATGAGTTAGCATTTTAGCACTCACAGTTACCTCGTCTCAGAGTCAATGGGTTTTTGCATACATACCTGAAATAAGCTTTTTGGTTAACACAAGCTTAAGAGACGTTCATGTTTTTTTCTATGACATAAAATACGTCAGTAAATACCTTACTTGTAAAATTTAAGCCTTTATGTGGAAAAAAAAGGCAGTTGCCAAGTAGTGGTTAAGACTAGAGAACATCATCATGCTGACCACGGCTTTAAAACCTCCTTGTGGTGGCGACATCAAGTCATGCGACAGTGATGTGATTCCTTTATAGCCTAACGTCAGCTTTTTACCTGTGGCGATTGCATTTATGCTTCAAAAACAAAAAAGTGCTGTTCATCTGTGAAGAATATCAGGCTGAACAAACTTTTTTAGTGTCATAAATGTTTGTTTGCCACAGATTTTATTTTCTGCAGTACTCCAAAATCCACTGGGAAAGTCCCAGTGGATTTTGGAGTATTACAAGATCATTTGTCAGCCTACAAATAAACAACATCTCTACACCACTCTATAGCGTTTATAGAATAATTATCCTGAGCATTAGAGATCATTCTTTACATTGGAACTAGTAGTTTGAGTTATATAGTACTGTAAGTGTGATTCTCATCACCACTGAAGTTAAATCAGTTGTTCTTTGGCTCAAGGACAGTTTCACCCCCTCGGTTCACAGGGATCCATTGGTTTTTGAGATATAATTGGCTTAAATTTGACCTCCTTTTGTGGAGATTATTCCTTGCAAATACTATGAAATCCAGGTATTAATCTCACCCATGCTGGCTCGGCTCAGATTGAAAACAGGGATTCACCGATCCAATTTTATCCCTCTCAGCTCAGGGTATCTGCCAATACCAAGCACCAGTCCAATTCCAGTGCTCTCTTTTAAATCTGTACACCTCACTGTGTGTTACTCGATCATTTTGATGTACTGTAAGATAAAATGAGAGGAGGGATTGCGGTGGCAGTAAGTCAGCAGTCTGCCATGACTGATTTTATTACATTGGAAGTGGCGATACAAAATTTTACAGTGACACTGACAGCGAAACTGTATTTAATGTGGTTCAGTGACATCATGGCTGATTCTAGATCCACTTCATAAAGTGTTTGGTGTTTGTTTCGGTGCATCCCAGACTGAAAAGTGTAGATATGTATGTCTGAGCCGCCACCTTCTTTCTTTGCAGTCATCATTCAAACCACAGATCACTGCCGCCATCTGTTGTCAAGGAGACCAAACTACAACTGCAGACATCCTGTCATTCACCTGCAGTGAGATAATATTCATGGTTCATGGTTCACTCTGTCCACAGCTCTCATTTCAACAAAATCCGCTGTGGTTTGGATTTATTCTGGTTCGTAAGATAAAAAAATCTGATGACTATTGATGACACCAGCACAACCCAGTATCTGCAGTAAGAGCCATTTGTGTTCTTTTTAAGATTTTTGCCTCTACCCCAACTTTGCACAAAAATGCAGGTTTGGATGTATTATTTTGGATGTATTTTTTTCTAGTCAGTTATTTGGGGTGTTTTTTTGTATTTTGTATTGTTATTTCTTTTGTTATTTGCTTGTGCAAATGCATCAGAGCGTGTTGATGAGTACACATACTGTACCTGTGTCATATCACCACCTCTGATTGACAAAAACCAAAACTTCTTCACTTTAACAATGAAAAAGCTAAAGAAATATATAAAGATAGTGTATATTAGAATATTTGAGGGAACAGGTTTAAAAACAAATAAAGGCAATAACCAACCAGGAGGGATTCTCTTATCTTTTTAATGTGACAGGAAACAGTGTCAAAGTGTGTTAGACCAAAACATGTCATATACATTACGATAATTTTCTTCATGGAGTGTGGGATCTGAAATGTTGTTTTACTGTGTTGATATGAGAATGTGCTCCTGTGTATTTAACCTAACCCCAGTGACTCAAGCATCTTGTTTCTTTTAAGATTGTGGGCTCATGTTTAATTTGGAAACTGAAGAATTCAAATATACAAATCTCGAGTGACTTTAAATGTCGATGAAAAAGAAATACACATTGGATTGGGATGAACATTGCTCAGTGTTGTTTTTCCAAAAGTATTTTTATCAGCACAAGCAGGTGCCCGAGAGCCCGCAGTGAATTAATCTACATTATACAGCTTTAATTTAATGTTTACAGACATTTTGATCCTTAAAGACGGTTAAGGGACACACAAGAAGGGGCACACATAGTCACACAACATGATGTACTCTCACATTGAACACTGGGTGTTTTTGTTGAGGAAAACCAGTGGTGTGTGTGATCTAATTATACGAGGAAATATGGTTATTGTGTTCCAAAATAAATTATTTTCTCAAAAGAAAAAATGTTTCCCGTTTTCTCTCCTTGACAGGTTGATTTTGAGCCTGAATGTTGTCGAACAGGCATGTCCGAGGTCCAGGCAAGGGGCCAATCGTGGCCTCTGGACTGATTTTAAGGAACTGCAGTTTGTTGTTCACGTGATTGGTTAATCAAGATCACTTTGCATTTTTTCCGTTCATCTCACAATGGCAGGACTGTCATACAGTTTGTAGACATGCACCAAGCAGGAACTACGCAGGAGGAACTAATGTCTTTACATAATGGTACATAAGCAAATGACCAAACCGGTCAGCAGACATTTCCTGCTAGGTAGCAGACATAACCACAGCAAAGTAGGGGTGTGTGAAAATATCAGTACATTAAGTATCACGATTTTATGTTTTGTGATAGTGTTAATTTTTATTTGATAGTTTACATGTGTTGTGTAATACTGTAATCTGTCATCACTCATACAACTCTTCCACTCCCATGTAACAACATATCACTAGCATGATACAGGGCTGTGATTAATGCAGATCCTACTGCTCTGAATGCATGTGTTGCAGGGAGGGCACTGACATGAGAGGGGGTACTTGGATTGCAACGGTGTTTGGGTGGGTGGTGTGTGTCAAGTGGCATCCACGAGAATACCACGACCAAATGACACCCATTGGAGCATTGCACAGTAACAAGGGCCCATTTGTTCAAAAATTTTAATTTCAAAATCCTGTGTTTTGCTGTCCAGGATCAGCTAATATATCTTGCTTTTGTACAGTTTTTTCAAAGCAGCATTGGACTGGATCACCCTGGACTGGATCAACCAGTGCTCTAAGTGAGACTCCATATCATGATGTAAGCAGTATCCCATCAAACACACTGCAGTTACCACTTGTTGCCATAGGTGCTGCCAAATACAACAAAACGGAGATCTTTGAGATCATAATATTTGTTTGATTTTGAAAGCTATTTGGGAGACTTCTTTATGGGGACAACATCCTTTTGTTTAAACTTCACTGTAAGGAAAGGTTTAATACAGTGGTTCCCAACTGGTGGGTCGTGGTCCAAAAGTGGGTCACGGGTCCATTCTGAGTGGAACGTAAGTGACTTGCCAACGTGTTAAGTTTGTAAAAAACACACTTTTTTTTGAAGTACAATGAATTTACGGCACAAGCTCTATTTTAAAGTGTCGTTTCCTGCTGTAGAGTGAGTGAATAACGGGCAGTTACTTAACAGAGACGGCAAACTAGCTTGACAACATGGCCAAACACAAGTATGATGCCGAATATATTGACCTGTGTGGACTTGAATTAATGATTAAGGAGAAACCTGGATCAGTTGGGAACCACTGTGTTAATAGTTAGCTTAAAATCTGTTTTATCACAGTAACTGTTAAACAAATCAAGTTCAAAATTTAAATAAGTGTTTAAACATTTAACCAAATTAAAGGGTTTTTTTTTTCACATTTTGTTCCCGAAAAACCACCCTGAATCCAGCCTTCTGTGGGATCAGGATTTTTTGGATCAAAGGTAATACTGATCCTATTACAAAGTTTTGAACAACACATACTATTTGTTTGTTCCAGATAAAGAACCAAGACTGGGTTATGTGATCTAATTCAATTTCAGAATCCTTTTACTTTTGAACAATCTATTTTCAAGATCTGATTTAATCCAATATGCAAAATCTGATAAGATTACCTCTGAACAACTAAGCCAAGATCATCATTTATTCATTTGTCAATGGTTTTAATGTTGTGGCTGGTTGGTGTATGCTCTCTTCGAAGCTAAACTCCAGTGCTAAGGTTTTTTTTAGTGAAAATGCCTGTTTGGGAAGTGCTGAGCATCAGACTGAATAAATGAGACTTGGATTATACTGCACGAGTTGTGTGAGAGTTTTAAAGTAAACCAGACTTCATCAAGTAAGCCTGGTTTAACTGGTCATCTATCTTTATGAAACACCTGTCATGTTAGCTAAAATAACAGGAAAACAAATGACAGTTCATATAAAACTACACACACACACACACAAAACTATTTATTTAAAAATTTCCCAATCCAATGCAACTTGCAGAGTGGATCTTTGTGGTACAGGAGGCATCTGAGAGTCACAACTCAAACAAGGCTGCTGAGACTCGTTCCATGGCACTGCATCAGGAGGCTCCTGCTCCTAAGACAATAATCAAATGCAGGCGTATCCATTGTCAGTTTTCCCTCTTCATATATTCCCAAACTCCTGAGACTGTGATACCCTTCTGTTCTCGCTCAACTGACAGGATCGTAGGCACGAGGCTGCTCTGTATGCTGTGAAATTCATCTTTAAGGCAAAGAACAAACCAAACTGAGTCACTCTGGATGTGAGCAACATCATCACATTATCAACTCTCTTGTTTTCCCTCTGCTTGTTATGTAACAATGAATATCAGTGCACATTACCCATCAATTATTCTCTCTGTAATATCTAAACATCCTTTTTCTTCCCATTTATATCACCATATATTAAGTTGTTTCCAAACCATCCCCTGCTCCTAACTCTAGATATTTCTTTTTGCTCATAGGAACTGCCTGGATAATAATAAAAAACGTCAACCTAGCTTCAGAATAGACCTGATCTGATCACAAAAGAAGCATCTAGGATAAGGACACTATAACTCTTGGGTCTGAGATGTGAGGACTGGTGTTTCAGAGAGCAGTGTCTTCAGAGCCAAAAAGCTTGGTGGCGATGGCCTGGCAGTCTACGACAGAGGCTTTCCCATCAAAATCTGTCGGCAGGATGTCTGCGTCGAAATCTTTGAAGTAGTTGTCCAGCTCGTCGCCGTGGACAAAGACCTGAGGGGAGGTATGAAGAGAATTCAGAGGGGATGACTGATGCAACTTGGACAAAACTCGATGTGTGGTTTAGATTAAAGGGTTGATAGTTCTCTGTCTGTACCCTCTCCAGCAGCTTGCTCTTCATGAAGGGTTTGACCACGTTGTATGTGGTGGTGAAGTACCAGGGCTGGTGGGTGACGTGGACCGCCTTGAAGCGGGCAGGGAAAGAGTCCTGCACACAAACACACAAAGGATTTGGAAAAACAGTTTTGTAGTTGCACATCAAAACATTCTCAGCCTCTTGCATCTGTTCTCTATGGAGGAGTATTAGGGCCAAACATAAAGGAAAAAAATAATGAAGATTAGGAATAAGGCGTTTTTTTTTTTTTTTTACTGGATTTCAGAAATGAAGTTAAAATGTTAATAAACTTGACATTTCAAGATTGAAAAGTCAGACTTTTGACAATAAATCAATCAGTGTTAGCGCATGTGGCTGCCTCTAAAAAATGCCATGAAGTGGTGAAACTGTCCTTCAGAACTGGTTTCAGTAACAAGGAAATTATTTCTCTTTTAGCTCATAAACACAGTCTGATAATAAGTGAAGGGATTGTGCTGAAACCCCACAAAGTTAGAGGAGGTGGCTGCATTCATACACACCTTATTCTCGACATTTTAACTTATTTGCAAAATGTTTTAGACATCTTGACTTTATTCTTGACATTGACCGTATTCTCAAATTATTGACTTTATTCTCGACATTTCGACTTTAGTTTGACATTTTGATGTCATTATCAACAGTTTGATATTACTGACATTTAATCTCAACATTTTTACTTTATTTTCAACATATTTGACTTTATTTTAGACGTTGCAACTTTAGTTTTGAAATTTCGACTTAATTTCCAACATTTGCACTTTTTTTGGGGGCATTTTGACTTTATTGTCAAAATTGTGACCTTAGTGACATTTTGACCTTATTCTCAAAATGTAGACTTTATTTGCAACATTTGAGCCTTATTTTCAACAATTTCACTTTATTGTTGATGTTTTAACCTTATTCTTAACATTTTAAATAAATTCTCCACATGTGGACCTTATTCTGGACATTTCCTCTGTATTTTTTACATGTCGACCTTACTCTTAAAATTTGGACTTTATTCTTGTAATTTCAACATGTTTCAACATTTCAACTTTATTTTCGACATTTACTTTCTTGACATATCAGCTATCGACTGACTATTAACATTCTCAATGCATCAACCTCATTCTCGTCATTTTGACCTTATTTTTGACATTTTTACCTAATTGCCAACATTTCAACCTAATTCTCAAGGTTTTGACTTAATTCTTGATATTTTGACTTTATTTTCATCCTCTCAATTTTATCTTATACCTTTCATTTTTACTTTATTCTCAAAGGGTTCGTGGGAGTAAAAGCAGAGGTGGCCACACCTGGGACGCCAGGTGTTGCCGATGAGTCCTCTCGAGGTGTCGTGGACCCATCATCAAAACACCAGTAAAGGAGGGAACCCACCTGATGACCACAATGAAGCTTTTACCCTCCCTAAACCCCCACCCCATTTCTGCCAGCATGGCTCCAACTCTAACCCACAATCGCAAGTATGTGCAACAGCAGTTTTTCTCCTGTTAGTTTCTTCTCTCTTTCCTCATCAAAATGAGAGAGTAGGAGGAAGTAGAGTGTATGGCCTGATCCGGCGGGGGAGACTTCAGTCCACACAGATGTCTCTCCTTGGCTCTGCCTTCCCTGTGCTCCTTACTTTTCTATCTGTCTTAGCTCTTTCTTACTTTTCTATCCATCTAACCCTCTGGCTCCCACTCGGGCCCCCAGATGGCACTATTACTCCCACTCCCAGTCTTTAGTATGTGCATAGGGAATTGTAACATCTGGTCCTAAACTGAACTCAAGATTTTGACTAGTCTGTCATTTCTATCTTATTCACGACATTTCAACTTTATTCTCGTGATGCAGAAGTAAAAAAAAAACAAAAAAACAAAAACAAAACTTTTTTCTTATGTCTGACCCTACCACTCTTCCATAGTTCTGACCTGCAGCATGTCCACCATCTTCTTGAGCTCAGCCGGCTTTATTCCCGAGGCGTGCTGCATGGTGAAACCCTTGAAATTCTCAATCAGCACAAAGCCATTGATCTGGGTTTCTTCATTCTCCAGCAGCTTCTCCAGGATCACACAGTACGCTCTTAAGATCTGTTACACACACACACACACACACACACACACATTCTTAACAAACACTTGAATTATTTCCTCTTGCAGTTGTGCTCTTTGAAGTCTTTTCACAGCTACCTCATCAAACGTGATCTCCTCCAGGTCCCAGTTCTCAATGTTGAAGAGCAGCACGACGCGGCCATATTTGTCCCTGCTGGGCAGAACCACAGGGTAACCTGCCTCGATGGTGCTGCGGACTGCCTCTGGGGTCAGGTTCTCAAACAGCTCGGGATACTCCTTCCTGAAGCGCACATAACCTAACACACACACACACACACACACACACACACACAACTGAGAGATCAGCTGCATTCTCTTATTGGCCACTAATGGTTCTCACAAACCTTTTGTGTACAGTACCAGTGATCAGTGCAGGTTGTTGACATCCCAAACACAATGACACGACTGTGCATCTTGTGTGCTTGTGTGTGTGTGTGTGTGTGTGTGTGTGTGTGTGTGTGTGTGTGTGTGTGTGTGTATGTATGTGTGTGTGTGTTCAGGGTTTTTACTCACAAGCAGCAATTAACCCCATGAAACAAGTTCACATTCCCCTCTCACACTCACAGGTTCTGCTTCTATAGACTCATAAATGTGTGTGTTTCCTTTTGCTTCTGTCTCTATGATGACCAAATACTCAGCAAAAAAATAAACTAAAGCAAAGTTTATTGGACCTGACCAAGTGATTTCTGTCAGTGTTGGTCTAGATTATTTTTGAGACAGAGATTTAGTTAGAGTGTTTTTTTACAATAGCATGTCAAGTCCAAAATACATACATGAACAATAAGCAAGTCATAACCAAGTCTGTCTTCTCATAGGAATGTCAAATCAGCCTCTTTTATAATCTGGTCTCCTCTCAGACTGACACAATCAGCACATGTGCTGTGAAGTTCCCAGGAGAACACTGCGAGTTCACAAATAAAGTAAACTTGCTGTCCTATTTGGAACACAAAGGACGGCTTTGTCAGGGGAAACTCAGAAGCATCTCAAAGCCCCCAATTAATGAACACATGCCTCCCTGTCTCAGTGATGGGCAGGATTCATGCAAACCAGGAGCACAAAAGAGGTCTCACCCTCAATTACTGCAGCTACTGGAAAATGTCTGCAGAAACTCAATCATATCACTTTTGATACCTCAGTTTGTCTCTACAATATAAATGAAACTGAAATCAAGGATGGACTAATAGATGGTCTTTTCTATGACTGACCCTTCATGAGGTCGTGGGCTCTGACAACCTCAAACTTGCGAGCTCTGAGGAATCGCAGCAGCAGAGAGTCCGGTTTGTCCCCGAAGCGCTCCAGCACCAGCTTGGCCAGATCGTCTCCCTCTGCTGCTCTCTCCTTCATTATGCCCCGCAGGTCCTTCAGTGACGACGCTCGCCTCTCATCCGTCTCAGTCAGCTCATCCTTCGCCTAGAGGAAACACATTTTCAAAATCACAGGAGCAGGGACACATCAGACAGATGTTGGGGCTGCAGGGATAAAAGTATCAGACCATTCTTAGTTAAACTCATCATATATATGTGTATTTACCTTTTGCACAGTGTGTCCAGGCAGTTTGTGGCATGGCCCAAACACTGGCCCATGATCCTTCACTGTCAAATGCTCCAGTTTAGACCTCATGGCCTGCTCCTCCTCTGACACCATGCGGAAACATCCAGTCTGGATAAATAAGAAAAGCTTTTACAATGTAAAACATCATATCAGTGTATGCAGGTTATTATCAATCATCAGATTTTCCTCTTGAGAAATAAACCAACAAACCAATTTAGCTGAAATCCTCCTTTAAATTTGTTTTTTACATCACTGTTTCACGCTTTACTGCTTGAGTACTTCACTGGCAGCTTATTACAATGACTTTTACATTATGAACCAACAACCCAATCTGGAACAGACCCCAAACGATGCATACCAGTGGACGGCTGCTTAATCTGCTTCACGTGATTACAGAAGGGACTTCTAAAGCCACTTCTTAAAAACAGCTTAAGCATCCGTCCCAGAGCCAGCATCTACCGGCACAATAACAGCATTAAGCAGCATCATGCGCTGACAGTCAAACTGCAAAGACCTGGTGCTTGTAACCCAGGACCAACCACTGAGGTGAGGCCACACTCTGACAAAGTGGCTCAAACGGAAACAAAGTGACGCTCAAGTGCTCTTTTTCTCTCTTAATTCTTTGCAAAGTAAACTTACAGCAGCCATGGTTGCAGCGTCTCACAGCAGCTTCACTACACACTGTGAACAAAGGAGAGTTGGCACAAACAGAACATGAACACATCAAACTTTTCTTTCACAGTCGTCCAGACATGTAGTCTGTTCATGTCAGACTTTGTTAAGAAGAAGACATAGTTACTGGTTACAGTTATTGGTGTATTATGAAATCTGCATAACTGGGGGTAGAAAATATGGTTTCTTTTGGTTCAGTGATGTGCAGCTACTGAACGTGAAGAGTGGTTTCTTTAGTCATCAGTGGAGCAGACATCCTCTTACATAAGACCCCAAAACAATACAGCAACAGAGCAGCACCACCACTCTCCTATAAAACTGAATTACCCAATCTAGTCTGAATCTGTTCCTCATGTGTTGCCATTTTATTTGAATCACGGAGCTAAGCATTCAATTTCTTCAAAATAAATGCCTGATGGTATTTGGAAAAGCCTGAAATATAGTTAAACATCTGATTGAGTCTTTAACCATCCAGTGCAGAACAAAGAGTTGGAGCGCAGCAACCCTGCCCACAGCAGTCAGACTGTACAATACAGAACTGAATAAAACAAAAGATAGATAGCTCAGGTTTTTGGGGGTTCTTCTGTTGCATATTGTTGCAGTGTTGTATATTGTTTTTTTACTGCATTTATGCTTGGTTGTATGTAAGTGTGTGATGTATTGGTGCATGTGTGTACATGTTTTTTTATATATAATTTTTTAGTATGTATAATCATGTAAAGATATAGCTCTACTTTATACAAAAAATGTAAATTCTGCATCTATTTCATTGTTAACTGTGAGTATGAATGTTAATAAACTCAAACTCAGCTCAAACTCATCTGCTTGCTGCACAGTAAAAAAGAGTTTTGACCCGTTTTTGAAATGTGCGACTGAAAACACAAAACAACTGTGATATGTGCAAATTGATACAAATCTAAAATTTCTTGATGCCGTTTTTGATGTGATTAGGAAACAGAGGTGTAACTTATGTACAAAAAAAGAGCTTAAAAAATAAAATACTTAAAATAACACTTATACTTACACTTATATAATAAAAATGATAATATAATAATAATCATCATCATCATCATAATACTTTCATTTATTTTTAGATTTATTTAATTTTTATTTAATTTTTATGAATGAATGAATTAAAATACATTTATTTCTTATTTAATTTTTATTTATTTTCATTTCTTTGTTCATTTATTTATTTTTTTTGTCACTAGTATGCAAATGTATTTATTTAGGACAGGCCTTTGAGATTGGTCATCTTGTTTTTGAGGGGTCCTACTTTATCATAAAGAAACTGAATATTTTAGCCTTCAAATGCTTGAATAGACTTTTAGCATTTTGAAAATATCTTCAGTACAGCAGTTAGTGTTTTTTTTTTTCCTTAAACCCTTCTGAGTTTTTAAAGGGTTACTGGGTATTGATTTTTTTTTATTTTTTTTTTTTTAAATCAGATGCTTACTTCTGTGACTTGAATACATGAGAAGCACAGACTCGAGCTGTACTCTTCATAACTGCTATCTAAAAACATTTGCTGGACAAAGTACACAGTGTTATTGATTGAGTATATCATTGAAAGTTTAAAAAAAAAATTCAACATTTTAAAAAACATATTTGGCACAAAAATTAATTTTGTGTGGCAGAAAGCCAAATACAACAAAATATGTGACTGTGTTAATCCACCATTGAGGGGGTTAAGACTTTCAACAGGTACATCAAACAGTGCAATAAACAAAACATATAATATATAGACACTGATTTTAGACACTTTATGACACATTCATATATTAGAGTAAACTGGTTATCAAAGGTCATTCAATATCAAATGAATACAACTATTGTTTATCAACTATCTTTTATTAATCAGACTAAACAGTGTATAATACTGACAGTGCTCATCATTCATCTTTATTTCCTGATCTATCTGAGGCTTATTTAGACTAAAGAGCAGAGCAGACTTACCTTTAAGCAGACGGGGTGAGAGGAGTAGACGAAGTGGCAGAGGAGACAACAAGAGGACAGAGGATCAGGAGGGGAGGAGTTATTGAAAACGTCACTCAAAGTAGGATTAAAATGACACAGTGGATTACAATGAGTGGCTAATCTATACCATGCAAATTGTGAAATGAAGGGGGAGCTGGGATGGAGGAGGAGAGGTGTGTCGGTGAGGACCATCACTGGTTGTACGGTGGTCCTGAGACCAGTAAATGTAAAAATGAGACCAGGCTGAACATATCTGTGGTTTGAAGAAACATACAGTGCCAACATTCTCCTCTGGCAACTGGGCTGCACCAATATTTTAAACAAATGAGCAAAACAGAAAGCAAAAGAAAATGCAATGACATTTCTGAAAACACAACAAAATTAGAAAAAACTACAAGAAGATTTGTAATTATCATGATTTTTGTGTTTCTTATTCATGGTTAGGTAGGTTAGGTATTTACCTCTGAAACATCATGTTGTATGAAATGAGAGAATTTCTTTTTCTCACTGTCGTCTCTAACACATCGCTCCTGTCACCCGTTCATACTGGAAGTTAACCCACCACATGTGACATGAAAGGTGGGATTAGAGCTTGATACTGTTGTGCCTGTGGAAATGTCATATGAGAGAGACGACCACTTGTGAAACAATCACACGTTCACATCACACATTCCTCTCTGCACATTCTTTGAAATCCTCATCAGAGAGAACCGCTTTGTTTTGGGACCCAGATTATAGATTACTCATCCATGATTGCACAACATCAGACAGCATGCGTCTCTTTTACTCATTAATTACAGTGATGGAGAATCAAATCAAGTTTGCTTTTCATTTTTGGACATTAGTGCATCATTGCCTCCCTCTTTGTTAGTTATAGGAGTGAAGAATTTTGATGTCATTTTTGCTTTACTTGCAGAGATGTACATTTTTAGCCATAACGTTGACACAAACACCAGTTGCTTCCTGGGTAAATGGTAAATGGACTGCTGCACTTGTATAGTGCTTTTCTAGTCTTCTTACCACTCAAAGCGCTCTAACACTACGTGTCACATTCACCTAATCACACACTGGTGGCAGAGACTACCATGCAAGGTGCCACCTGCTACTCAGTAACCATTAACACAATTCGGGGGTCAGTATCTTGCCCAGGGATACTGAGCCAGAGCTGCCTTAAAGTCTTGTGCTTTCTGGACCTATCCATCTTCCCCTCCACCAAGTTTAAGTTGTCTTTTTCGCTCTTTATACTAGGTATAGCCTGGTCCGCCTCATACAGATGCTAAAGGGTGCATTGTGCATCCATATCTGACTCCAAGGACCATTGACTGAATGGTGTCAGTGGGAGTGAGACCTGGCTGAGCCATGCCAATGGCGTGATAGTTGGCCAGTTGGTCTTCTACCTACAAACTGAGATAGTCTATAAAATCTTAGGTGAACTGAGGATGAGGATGACTCCTTCTGACTTTTGTGATCCGACTTTTCCCCCAGTGTCACCAGAAGATTCACATGTATGATTTTCAGTGAGATGTCTCAACAACTAATGGATAGTTTGCCATGAAATTTGGTACAGAAATTCATGTCCACCTCAACATGAATTTTAACAGCTTTAGCGGCCCCCTAATTTTCATCTAGCGCCATCATCAGGGGAAAAACTTAATTTTTTCAATCGATCTCATTCCCATCAACCTCAGCTTTACTTTGTGTTTAGTAGCTTGCTAATAACAAATGTTAACATGATAAAAGGCTAAACTAAGATGTGAACATGGTAAACATTATCTGATAAACACTGGCAATTTAGCGTTTATTGTAAGCATGTTAGCATGTAGCTCAGAGAACCACTGTGCTTTGTGATGCTGCTAGAACAGTTGTCAACTTTCAAGGTTCATTCACATGTTCTGTGTTGTAGCCTACTTGTTGATTAATTTTACTTTGGCTTTACATATATAGATCTATTTCCATACTGTGCTTTTGATTAATTTAGATTTTGACATTTCACAATCTTATATTGATCATTCTTGTTTATCATTACATTTTGGTAAGTACTACACACCTCCCTTAGGTGGCCCTATAGAGCAAACAACACTTCACCATTGACCCAAATCAACCACAGGAGACACCTTTAAAACATTTAAATTAATGGTAAATAGACTGCACTTGTATAATGCCTTTTTAATCATCCAACCACCTGTAGTGCTTTTATGCTATGTCACATTCACCCATTCACACACTAGTGGCCGAGGCTACTGTACATGGTGCCACTTGCTACTCAGTAACCATCGGGAGCAATTTGGGGTTCAGTATCTTGCCCATGGATACATCGGCATGCAGATCGGAGGAGCTGGGGATCGAGCCACTGATCTTCTCATTAGAGGACAACCTGCTTTACCTCTGAGCCACAGCCACCCCTAATGGGTTTATCAGCATAAGACATGCAAACAAGTCAATAAAATCCCAGTCTCAGAGGCAGTAAGGCCAGCAGTCCCCACACCACAGGCCTCTCTCCTGCAGCTGTGCAGGAGCGCTTAAACGTCTCTTCCCCTGGCCAGGTGCACCTTGTTAGGCCATGCAGCACACCTGGGCAGGGCAACAGGAGAGGGAAAAAGGACAACATTACAGGAACACATGCAGCCATAAGACTTGTAAGAAACTTATTTTTATTAATGTATTTATGCGTATACTCTCTTTTCCTTTTTATGTATCAAGATGTCAGTGATGATTCTGAATCATCAAGGTTTATCTAAAAGTAGTGACGCAGCAGGACATGCTGTTTTGTCCTTCAAGATGTCTTCCACAGAGTGTTCCATTATTTATGTAACTGAAAAGTTTTTAATGACCAGTCATGGCTTGCATACTTTTCTCTTCCCTCTTGACATTGTGCGCCATGAAAAAGCAGAGCTCATGTAGTCTCATAGGACGTAATCTGCATCATGTCTGAGGGAGCAAAAGGGGAGAACACAGTTGAGTGCCATCACTGAGCTGACAGAAGAGGTTAATGAGCTGTGGGTGAACAGAGGAAATGTCCGTCCCACACTGGAGCTGGAGGCTCTGCTGGGTCGCCCTCCTCCACACACTGAGGCCTCTGTCATCCAGAGCTGGCAGACTTACTGTACGCTGCTATTGTTCCTCCAGCAGCACCTCTCATTAGTGAACGCTCATGAATGACCTCCTATTCCCTCGCAAACACAAACAGGGGTTAACAATGCCTCCATGTATCACATCAGACATGTTCATACAAGCCTCTCGTATACAGTTAAGGTCTTTGATGTGAAGGAATTTCTGCCAGTTATGTCACCCTGCAAGCCAACAAATAGGCCTGTATGAATACAAAAATGATCAGTGCAAAATACATGGTTTATTCATCAGATGATTGATAAGCACTCAGCATTGAAATAGAGAAAGATTTACAAATCTAAACCACTATTTAAATAAAAATTAAATAACTTAATTATTGCAACAGTTCTGTTGAGTTTTTCCACTAGTGTCAGACTTTCTAAAGTCTGAAGTCTGAAGACAGTAAGGACTAAATCAACTAAATCAAAAATATAAATTTTCCCTCTTTCCTGTAGTGCTATTTATCAGTCTAGGTTGTTTTGGTGTGAGTTGCAGAGATGTATGCCTTCTCTTAGATATAATGGAACTAGATAGATTCGGCTTGTGGTGCTAAAAGCGCCAAAAAAATACATTTGAAAAACTCAAATACCCAACTGCTCGCCAACTGTATCACCGTGCAGAAGGAAGTATGCATCTACTCATGGACGAGCAGCTCGTGCTTGTGACAGCACCAGAAGTAAACATTCATGGCGTCCCCCTCAGGGACTGCTCATTGTTCAGTAAGCCCAAAATTCTGAAGCCCCATTAGTTTGAAAAATGTTCCACTGGACTGAAAGCGCATTTCTCCGACAGCTGGTTATCCCAAAAACAAACACCCATAGCTCCAGAGTCCCATCACTCTGAAAATACGCACTCCCTGCAGTTAGACAGCCCAATTGCCAGAAAAAAGTTTGCATTGTACATTTCATCAAACCACAAATACCTTGCATTTGTCAACACCAATGTGGTAAATGTGTGGTTAGGTTTGGGCACAAAAAAAGCACCTGGTTATGGTAACGTTTTGGGTTCAAACACACGTTTGGTGGCACAAAGTTGCTGGAAAAGCAGGGACTGTTCAATGAAATACACCTGGGTTTGGTGACTCAAACAGTACTGGAAAAACCTGCAAAAGGTTGGTAAAACCACCTGGGATTGATGGCTCAAATGTGGCTAAGAAATGCTGCAAAGGGATGGTAAAAATATCCAATATTGATGGCTTAATGCCAGTGAAAAACACCACGAAAGGGCGGAAAAAACACCGCTGAAAAACGCCTGGGACTGTTTGCTCAAACGTTACTGGGAGACTGAAACTAACTGCAGGGTGTATTTTCACAGAAAGGGGACTTCAGCGCAATGGGTGTTTGTCTTGGGGATAACGGGCTGTCAGAGAAATAGTCCCTCAGTCCCATGTGACATTTTTCAGACTAACTCAATAGTGCTAAGTGAGCTAGCAGTCGATGCACGCTTCTCTCTGCGTGGTGATATGGTTGGTGGGTGTAGTATGGTGGAGAGAAAAAAATTCCTACATTGAACAGGTCACAACAGGGTCTGTGGATCATCTTGAGTAACTGGGTCATGATTTCTAGAAGGAGACATTGCTGTTAAGTTTTTCAAATGCATTTTTTTGACACTTTGAGCACCACAAGCCATCTAGTGCCATCTAGTTCCATTATATCAGACAGAAGGAAGACATCTCTATCTCCAACACTCAGCAACTCACAACAAAACAATCTAGATTGATAAATAGCACTACAAGTGAGAGTAAATTTATGTCTTTTTGATTTTTGGGTGAACTGTCCCTTTAAAATCAGAAGAATGTTTTACATTGAAAGAAAAAGAATCATTAATGATGTCCCAGTCAGCCACAACCCTCAATTAATTTCCCCGTAAAAGAAGAAATTAAGTGAGGGTTGAAAAGTTATTGTGAACTGTAATATGTCACTAAAAATATTACTCTAGTCCTCCAATCTTTCCTCTGTGAAATACTGTCCTTATTGAGACAGACGATTAATCTGACTATCAACACTCCCACCTAGTGGCTTCAGTCATCTGCTGCCACATGAAATCAAAGCCCCCACAAACCCTCATCAGAAACACTCAGCAGCGGGTTAATACTGTAATTCAGTTTAAATTTTGGTTTGAAAGTAGAGTAAGGGAAGTAAAATCTGTGAAATATCAATTTAAATGGTGCACTGACAACAGGTTCACTGGCACCAACACCTAAAGGTTGATCACACATTTCATCCCCAGTGATTACACACTGCCCTTATGAACATATTAGTGTATTTAGTACATTTCAATTCATGATTAATTTACCTAAAGTGTGATTTTTCTGACATAGTATTAAACATAGTGTACTATATATAACAGATATGTGCAGTTAACCATGCTATTTTGAGACACAAATAACCTGCAATTAAGTGAATCAATGTAATAGTTTTAACATGTAAATTATATGATCTAATATTGTATAGACACCAATGATTATATTGTGTGTTATTATACAGGAAATGTTGGTTTAAAATACTTTGAATATGTATATATTGTTACAGAGAGAGTAATTAGAGTAAACTGAAGTTGTATTTAAAGAACAGCTCCATCAAGTAGAATCAACTTTTGCACAACACAAACAAGCAGGCAGAAAATTCCTCTTTTATCTTTACTCTGATCAAGTTTACACAACAAACAACAGAGTCATCTCCCATGAAATTAATAAGGCACAAAATAATATATGTAGGTTTACATATAAAAAGACAGTTGATGTTTCTGTAGCGTATGAACAAATTATTTTTTACACATTATAATGCACCAGGTGGTATTCTGACAACAAACAAAAACAAAAATATGCATTAACAACACTGGAGTGAAAGCTGTGGCATTCCTTTTGGGAACAGTTATCAGTTGCATTAGTCTTAGTCAGACTTTTGACAACAAAAAAAAAGTTGATAATTTCCACATCTGCCCAAAATATGATGAAGTGGCACTGGCAAAACTGTTGTTGCTGACATGCACAAGTTTTTCTTGACAACCAACTCACACCTTCCAACTTCCTCCTATTTGCTGAGGAAACAATCTAATCTTCACATGACTGACTTCTAACTGAACAAGACACCATTTACAACTATGATTTCATACTTGGACTTGATATACTGGTTCATTTGGAGTGTAAGCAGGCTGAAAGCACAGATACTGGACCTTTTTAACTGCCTGCTATACTGTTTGAAATGTATTGTTTTTTACTTATTCCTCAGTTTACACCTGCTTTGTTTACTCTACATATATAACACGTGTGGACAAAGTACAATACAAGTTTTGGCTCTCGGCCTGCACCATAGCTTAAGACTGAATTAATGTACCCAATGTGCCATACTGTGGTTTCCTGCTTGGTTTGATTTCTATCTTGTACCTCTCTTTGTGCTGATATTAAAAGCTTCTGTATCATCTGAAATCAAAACTGAGAAATAAAACCACTATACATGGAGAAAGTGTTTCAAAGAAGCAGTACAGATAATGTGTCAAAACAGAACAAACTGGAACAAAGGTCAACATCATGTAAACAACAGTGATCAGCTGGTTTTAACAGTTGGTTGTTTAAAGTCATTTTAAAGCCATGTTTAATTCAAATTCCCATTTGTGAAGATAATCATTGACTATGTTTACATGCACAAAATATTCAGTTTTTTTGCCCTTATTCTGAAAAACACAGTATTGCTACTGAGCTGTTTACATGGCTAATGAAAATGAATATTCCACTAATATTCTCGTTTACATGCAGCCGTGCATATTTCAATTAACGTGCCATAACCAAGCGGCAACCTCTGGGGCTGAAAAATGAAGCCGACACAAGTTTTTTGAATGGCTGCTTGAGTTAATCCCCATAGACTCCCATGTTAAAATGCAATTTAACAGCAGAAATAAACATGTTTACAGCCTGGTACAAAAAAGGTTCTGGTCTCTATAGCAAATTTCAACATTCATGACAACTGTACAGGGAGTGTATGTTTTTTAATAACTCACGCATTTATATTTTATCAAGGCTTAGAGTTACACATAATTAAGGGCGGGCTGCTTTGACTGACAGGCTGTCTGCCTCTAGTGTCCTCAGCCTCTCAGTCAGATCCATCCCTCGCTCCTCCACAGTGCCAGCCTCTCGCCCAAATATGGTCACTTCTGGCTCCAAAAAAAAAAAAAAACAAGATGGCGTCAGCCTAAGTGCCAAACCTTGAAGCCTCAAAGGAGTCCACAGACTAATGGGTGACGGCAGGGTTTAAAATTAACTTTTTGTTCCACCTACCACTGTGGCTGGTGGATTCCACACTCTACCAGCCACTTAGTAGACTACCATTGTCTTTTTTTGGCTGGTGAATGAGGCAAATCTAGCAGCGACTTGCCTATTTTACCAGCATTTGGCGGGTGACTGGAGCTAATTTCAACCCTCGGTGTCGTTATAGAGGCTACGTCAATCAGTTTTAGGGTCTACGGCCCTAACATGCTGTTTATCACATCAAAATATGAAAAAAAATGGAAGCGCTAGAGTCGCTCGTCCTATTTTGCATCTTTCCACTGGTTGACCGTGTGAACACAGTCTCCCTCTTTCATTCCACCAACCACCTTCTTGAAAAGTTAGGTGTTGCAATATTTGTGCATATAAAAAAACTGTTCATATCAAAGACTTTCATAATATTTAAAGGTAGGAGTGTTTCTTCTTCTGACCTGAAATGTGGGCATGCATCTCTACCCTAGCCTTGCAAACTTTTGATTTGTGCTCACCGTATCCACGAAAAACACACAGAGCTGACCATAAACAGGCAAGAGGCTGTGTGTTGCAAATTGCGGTAAAAACCCCAACTGAGACACACATTACATGTCTTATACAAGTCTTAATCGGAAAATGTTTCATTCAGAAATAGCCGTAATTCGAAACATCCAAACAGAATATGCTGTTTACATGATCCATACCATATTCTGAATTCTGTCATGTTCAGAATAACAGTGAAATATTAGCGTGCATGTAAACACAGTCACTGATTCGTGATTGGAAAAGTGCAAACAGTGTAAAAATAAGTTCCACATTTTTTCCCGTCATTGCCATTCTTTGTTTTAGCATGCAGCTTCTCAAGGCATCAGGAAGTCAGTTTACATTTACACTAATTTACTGGACAAATGAATGAAACATTGATATTCTAGTTTATAATGAGAAATAAAAGCAGCCTAATTCCGGAAACTATATCTAAAAGCATTGCACTAAAATGCCAGTGAATCAACAACAAGAATAACAATTCAAATATGCCAGCCATGCAGCTGAGCCTGTAGTAAAGAAGGTACCGTATAAAGTACTTCAACAAAAGGCACAAAGAGTGCTTTTTGGAAAGAGAAGCTTCCCATTTGACTTCAGATAAAATGTAAACATGAAAGATGTGGAGTTACTGATATACCGGCATGCTTACAGGGTATCATATACACACAACATGGCCCTTTGTTTCCAGTGGTTTCCTCAATAGTGTCAAAGGTCAGTGGCTCTGGTTTGTTTTTTCTGCAGGTCCAGAGCATGTTTCAAAACATCATTCAGTGATAATGAGGGGACTCAGTGATAAGACACTTCTTTCCCCTATGATTCTTCAAAGTTAGCATAGCAGTAAATGGTACCTGTTTACATAAAATCCTCTTAAAAAGAAATGGCATATACATAAATCATCCAAACTCCTCCTTTATTAAAAGTATATGAAGCATAATAAAACGTTGTCATGCACCCTTTGACATTAAAAACTCCAGAGTTGGGTGTAACAGCGCAGCAGTAAACCTTCTTCTTTTCTGATAAAGATTGTCTTTCTGTACAAAGTCAAGTCTTAGTGACCTGCGGTAGTTGCCACAAAGCATCCAGGTCACAAACGACGACCGGCCTCAGCCCATAAACGTCAGAGATGCCATGATGCTGAAGCCCAGCAGAATGAAGAGCACCTTGAGAAGCTGCTTCCCGGGAGAGTTGAGCTCGTGTGGGAGGATCTCCAGGAAGGTGATGTAGATAAACGTCCCTGCAGCAAGCCCCTCCAGGATGGCCTGGACCAGCGCTCCAGCTTCCAGCTGAGCCTCCATCACACTGATGCCGATGGCGATGCCTATAGGCGACATCATGGCGAACACTCCGATGTAAGCAGCCACCCACAGTGGAGCAACTGCGCTCTGGACCAACTTCACCGACAGGCTGAACACTATGATGCTCTTGTGGACAAGTATGGCGATGCAGATCTCTAATACCTGGAGAAGACAAAGATCTAATGGGAGGCGCCCTGGAGGCATCCTGATCATATGCCCGAACCACCTCAGCTACTCCTTTTGATGTGACAGAGAAGCGGCTCTATTCCAAGCTCCCTCCAGATGTTTGAGCTCCTCACCCTATCTCTAAGGCTGAGCCCAGCCATCCCACAGAGGAAACTCATTTTGGCCGCTTGTATCTGCGATCTAATTCTTTCCACCACTACCCAGAGCTCATGACCATAGGTGAGGGTTGGGATGTAGATGGACCAGTAAATTGAAAGCTTCGCCTTCCAGCTCAGCTCCCTCTCCACCACAGCAATCCAGCATAGTGCCCGCATCACGCCACAATCCAAATAATATCAAATGTTAATGTTTTTGTATATAAAGGCTGTGTTAAATAGGACAGGGCAATATGACAATATATTCTACAATATAATATAGATGTGAAGATTTTTGCTATGCTGTTTATAGCATGATAACTGTGTCTAAGCAACTTGGTAAGAAATGTCCAAGAAACTGCAAAAATAAATAACTAACATAAAATAAATAAATAAATATTTTAAATAAATAAATCAAATAAAATTATTTTTAAAAACTATGGGGGAAAAAGCTAGGGAAAACTATACTCTAAATTATTATATTATTATTACATTTTAATATTATTTTTAAGCACTCTTTCCTGGTCATTTCCTTAATTGTTTGTTTTTAACTTTCTTTCTTTCTTTCTTTCTTTCTTTTTTTTTTTTACTAATTTTCTTGCTTGTAATTTTCTCTTTTTCTAATGTCTTGGTAAATTTTTTGATCATTTTTTCTTTCATTACTCATTGCCTCCTTCCCATGTTTTAAAAGAGATATGCAATTTGGTTGCAACTTGTTTTATCTGAGTGATGTCTGCTTTATTATGTCTCATTCATAGTTTATTGTTTGATTGTTCTAACCTATATTACTGTTCTTTGACCCATTGTTTTAGTGTTTTATATTCAACCAATCTACTCACAGTCTTAACAGAGAACTTTTCCAGCTGAACACACACATAACACAATTACATGTAGATGAAAAGTCCTGAGGGAACACTGATAGTTTTCTCGGACTGCAGGCTGTCTTGTGACCAGAAGACACAGATCTGACTCTCATGACAGCGAGATTCCTTTCCTGTCAAAGCGTCCTGAAGCTATAAACTGAAACGCTGCTTTCTTCTGGCAACATGAGAGCGCTGTGAATATGATTCCAACTTTATTTGTGCAGCACTTTTCTGAGAAAATATGGATATCAACAATGCTGGATTTAAAATACTTCAAAAGTAGTTTTGATGCACAAAGCAAAATCTCCTCTTACCTTTGAGTCAGTGCTCTGCAGGCCGATAGCAAGACCCTCGAACACCGAGTGGAGTGAGAGGGAGAGGAAGAGCATGAAGGAGCGAAAGGGGGAATGAGCCTGAAAGTCAACATGGACATGGTGGCTGCTGCTCTCCAGATCAGGGCTTGTGCCATGGCCGTGTCCATTTCTGTTGTCCTGTATGAGGGGTGCCCTCTCCTCGTGAGACCCTGCCCTCTCCCGACAGTTCAGGACAAGCCTCTCCAGTATGAGGACGGTGAAGAAGCCGGCAGCCATGATGAATTCTGGGAGGGGGAAATTGCTCTGTTCGAGACCAATACCAAAAGAAAGTCAAGAATTAGGACACAGAGATTGTAAACAGTTACTGCACTTGCTTTAGATGTAACATTTTTAGACATCCCCTCTTTGATGACTGATCCTGTGCATACTGTACTGTAATCTGTTTTATTTTTGAAGAATACAGTTACTGCAAAGTTTCTGTAGTGTCTGCCAGTGTCTGGCTTTTTTTTGATAATCAAGTAAAAACACTGAACTGGTTCCAGGTCCTCAAATGTGTTGCTTTGTTTTTTATCAGTTTTCTATAATTGTGAATTGAACACTTTTGGATTTTGGACTACTGGTTATACAAAATAAATCATCTGAAGGGGTCAACTTGGGCTCTAAGAAATTAAGATGTGCATTTTTTACTACTTTCTTACATTTTACAGACTAAATGATTAATAGATTAGAAAAAAATACAACAAATACAGGGCTCAACAGTAACAGTTCCCATTGGCTCCCATTTTGAGAGACCACTTTTTAATATATATATAAAAAAATAGGGACAGCAAACAGCAATAACACCAAAAATAATTATATTTTTTTATGAACGACCGGAGGGCCATCCAGGCATGCTGAAAAAATATAGGAAAACGAGGAAGGAAATATTAAAAAGCCTTTATTGTAGTGGCTAAATCATTAAAAGATCCAATATTTCGACCACTGCAGGTCTTCGTCAGGGCTTTAAAACCATTTTTCTTTTAAATATTTTATATGTTTGTTGCACTAGTGATAATTAAATTATGCTGTTACAGTCAGAACTGGAACCAGACAAAGCTGCACATACATTGATGTGTTTACTCGTGTGTGCCCATGCATTTTAGAGACAGTGGCAAAGCAAATAAGTTGCATTTAAGATTCAAATCCTGTGAGGTATGAGAAAAAGATTTCTGTCTGGTTACTGTAATAAAGCTTTTAAGCATTCTTTAATATCATATTTTCATTAATATGCTGACATATGGCTTCATAGTATCTTAATTACTTCAAATATGAGGTGACTAATGGCAACAACATTTTTAGTCCAGTCCAGACGTGGACATACCTCCACCTTCTGAGAATCCAGCGCGGCGTTGATGTCTGACAGATAATCTGGAATGATGTCGAGCAGACATGCTGCCAAGAAAACGCCTCCAGCAAAACAGCTGATCAGACTCAGGACTGTGCGATGGGTTTCTGCAAATGGAAAGACAAAACATCTCTTATGTCTCAACATGAACTTACACACAATGGTGTCAGCCTCAGTTATGTTTTTCTCTGCTTTCTTGCATTTCTCAGAAGAAAATCTATTTATAAATCAGGAGTCTCTCTGTGAAGTAATGGGCCATTTTACATTTTATTTAACTTCTACTATCCACAACAAAAAATACAAACCATTATTACTGAATTGGCCTATAAGTGATTAGTGGTACATCTCAGACATGGATGAAGTCACTGCCATCCTTCCAAGGTTAAACTAACTGCTGAAGGATCATGTGCTACATCATGAGTATGAAAGCATAGGCGTCTAAATGACTCAGCAGAGCACTAACACACACAAAAGGATACTTTCACTTCCGTTTAAGAAAGTCCTTGTTCTGACTGTTTTACATACTAAATGTGACCATGTGACCACATGCCAACAAGTCTTTGGGGCTCCATCCCTGTCAGGTGACTCCAAGAGGGAGAAGGGGATTACTGAACTTAGGCTACACATTTAGGTTTGCATAAATGATAATGACAATGTAATGGGGCGGTAATTAGTAATCAATGTTAGATCATCACATATGCAAATAGTCTACCAAAAGAAACATTAAAACATTTTTTTACACAGAATGATGGCTGTGTTTGATTTATGATCAGTGATTAAAACCCACCACACCCTCTGTAATGGCTCAATTAACGGCTTTTAAATCACAGTTGATAACATCAACAGTCGTTAATTGCCTTAACAACACTATCTACAGCTAAAACATGTGATTCATTGAGACAGACGGCTGCTGAAGCCGCTATCTGAGATCCTGTAACTTCCGCTCGTCTTCGGCGGGACCACTGCAACAAACTCCATTAAACCTTCAAGCAATTTAAGGTTGATTTGAGTGTCTGCAAACGGTTTCATACCAAATATCAGTAATTAAAGCTGGAAATTAATCAGTCACTTTCCCTTTGTAGTTCGGCATAAGTGTAATAAGCAACAAGTCATCCAATGAAGGTAAAACAGTGAATTTGTTCGCCATGATCCACATTGTTTATCATAGATTGGAGGCGATTTTAACGTCCCCTCTTCTTTAAAATATGCATATAATAGTGATATATAGAACACCAATGCTAAAGTTAGCTAGGTATGTTATAATGTTTACCAACCTGTGCCGTTTGTGTCTCTGAACCATTTGACTCGAGCAGGGATAAATCCAAAAAGAAGAGTTAGGAGCAACAAACCGATCAGAGCGCCTATTTTCACCTGGAGCAGAAAATCCATTTTGCAGCATTAACCTGTTACAGAGTGAGACTCGCTTCCTCACTGTACTGTCATTTGATTAACTGTGAAACGAGCCGGTGTTCGCCGACCGATACGTTGATAACAGTTTCACTGAGGCGAGAAGCTCAGCGAGCAGCAGCCACCGATGTTGTTATTTGGAAAGTGGCTGACCGTTCAGGCGACGGTAGCCGAGAAGGGTCAAAATAGGTTATCGCGAAAAAGATACAGGAACAGGGCGTTCCAACGGATGTCTCTTTGCCAGCCCTCTTTACATACCTTATATAAAATGTATTTAGCAGCTAGTACTTGTATTAATCTCATTAGATGTTTTATTTTGCTTGTGTTAGAGCTGTGTATTTTTATTATTATTATTATTATTATATTTTTTTGTGCTATGTTGTCTGTCTGTAACTTTATGTTGCTGCCTGTCTTGGTAAGGGACACTCTGGAAAAAGAGATTTACTAATGTCAAGAGTTTTTTTTTTCCTGATTAAATAATGGTTAAATAAATAAATAAAATAGTATTGACTGTTAATCTGCATTTCTTTTTCTTTTATCAGAGCTGTAATAAAAAAAATCATTGGTGGAAAAAAGTAGATCTTCTCCATATATAGATAAAATAAAATAAAATAAAAAAATATCCTGCACAAATCTGTAGACTATTCATTTTATTGATTTTTTTGTAATTATTACTTTTTGTGCAATATTGAATGATTTTATTTTAAACCATGTGAGAAGTTTAGAGATCAAGTCTCTCATTAGTGGTATTTTTTTTTTATCAACTCATACACACCAGAAATGTGACAAGGGGCCTAGACACTGCTCTAAAAGAATTTAAAAAAAAATAACAAGAAGAAAAATGAAACTTCTATGAATCCTATTTCCTTGTTGTACCAGTTCAACAGGCTACATTATGTTTGGTGTGACTCTTGTTTATGGTAGGCTATAATATCTTTTTTCCGTCTCTGTAATCACTTTGCTCTTCAATATATTTTTAAGTGGTTGATGATTACTCCCAATAAAAATCTCAAAGGCCAACTGCTGTCTTCAGCCTGTAAAGGAAGTGTGTTTCACTGCATAGCTGTGAAGCTACACAAGTAGTGAGTGCAGAAGAAATGCAGTTATAAATGCTGATAATCAGTTTAAAAAGGTTTTTATAATAACCCACTAAGTCTGCAAGTGAAAAAGTAAGTTTGCCCATTTCTGATTACTTTAAGCTAAAAAGGCAAAGCAAGGACACTAGAGGAGGCATAGACAGACACTCAGTCAAAAAGCCCTTGGGGACAGATTTGTAAAAGGCCCCACCACAACTCCTCCACGAGCAAGACACAGACATTGTGGTTTTTGCCCCTTTGTTGTTGTTTTGCTTTTCATTATGCATCTTTTTGTGGTTTTTGTGTCTATCTGAGCTCATTTTGTCTTTTTGTGGCTGTTTTGTGTGTCTTTGCAGTTCCTTTGCATCTCTTGATGGTCATTTTGAGTATTTTCCTTGTCGGTGCATGTTACAGTAATTAGAGTGAACTTTTGAAGTGTTCCTAGAGGGCCCATTCAGTAATCCATCCATGGGAAGAGGACAAACATCAATTTAAGTTATTCTTAAATCCAGACCCCCTAAAGATGTTCTTTCAACTGATCTAGGCTAATAATAATAATACTAATAATCCAACAAGTAGGCTAATCTTTAATGCTTAGACTTGTTTTTTTTATTAATACTTCTTTATATACCTTTGCTGCCTACTAGCATATTCATAGCTACCTGTTAGTTATTATTTATTAGGCTATTTATATTACCACTATAAATTTGTATACTAGTCTGCACAATACTGCTATTTGCACCTCTGGTCAGATGCTAAACTACATTTCATTTTCTCAGTACCTGTGCTCTGTGGTGTAAGGAAGTTACAACGGGCCCCAGTGCACACTATTATGACGGGCCCCAGTAGACGCTATCGTACATGTATTCTCTAGACACAAATAGAGAATTGACATTGGACAACACCAACATGAATATTACCCATTATGACAAAAATCTGAAGAAAGTACGAAATTATAAATTTAATTTTATAGTTTTCAAAGTTCAGAAAAAGCATATAATTTAGTTTTACATAGCTACTGGCTATTTAAAAAAAAGAAATGAGTTTGCCTTTTTGAGGACATATATAGCAAATGGCACAATTGTTAATTCAGTAACATTCTTCTTTTGTCATTCATCTTTGAACACAGGTATATTTCCAAGGTGGCAATCTGAATCACTTGCAAGGGCCTACTCTCTCTACAGGCCCCTCCACCCCAGGGGCCCCAGTGCAATCACACTGCCTGCACTGTCTATATTTACACCCCTGCTGTGCAATGACAATAAAGTTGAGTCTAATCTAGTCAAATAAATACATTATTTTAGCCAGGTTTTAGGCCCCAACAGAAGTCTTATGCCTGTTTAACAAATATTAAATAGTATATTAAAATCTTAAATCGTGCATCAATAAGAAAGTCTCATGTAAAGACTGTAGGTAGTTGCATTCCTTGACCAGCAGATGGTGCTCAGTCACCAACTCTCACGTACCGCTTACTGTCAACCGACCACCACACGAGGCTGTTGATGTCGTCATATTCGTGCGCCGGATATATTGAGTCCCCCAACAGAAGAAGCACCAAATGCTGATGTGTTACAAGAAATGACGCCGCAGGGACACTTGTGAGTCTCTTCATTTGATGCAGTGATAAATAATAACGTAGAGAAGCGGCGGAGGGTCACAGGTCGATGTTAGAGAAGCGGCAGAGGAGGAGAACAACAGCAGCGGGTCAGAATGGCGGTGAGACAAACACACACATGCAGCAGAGACACACTGACAGAGACAGGAACAACTCACTGAGTCACTTCTCAGATACAGTGAGACCACCACTGGCTGTAGAACAGATAAACACTGAGCTGTGTAGGGATAAATAACTACAAATACATGTAATGTGGTTATATTATCTACGTACACTGCATACATTTGTTTTATATCTAATACTATGAACTTGGACAATATTTTGTAATTTCTACACACATCTAAGACTCATAAAACCTGCACAGCTCAGCATTTTTATTCCGATATATTTCACAGACTTTTTAAAATAGTATTTTAAATATTTTCTACTTTAATTTGCCTCTATGTTTATGTCCCTTGATTTTCACAACACTTGCTTTTACAGTTTAATTAATTTTCTCCAGACATGTGTCTGTCATGTACTAATACCCAAAAGCAAAGCCCTTGTACCAGTATGTGAAAGTCTACTCAGCAATAAACCAGATTTGTGATACTGATTTTTCCCCCTACAAACATAATATTTGATAAAGCTGAATTACAGTTATAGTTACATTAAATTTTATTTATAAATCCCAACATCACAAATATAATTTGCGTCAGAGGGCTTTACAGTGTATGGCATCCTTCTGTCCTTGGACCTTTGCAGCAGATAAGGAAAAACCCCCAAAAAACCCTTTAATTGGGAAAACAGTGGTAGAATACTCAGGAAGAGCAACTGAGGAGGGATCCCTCTTCAAGGACGGACAGATGTGCAATAGATGTCGTACAGAACAGATCAGATCTCTCTGTGCTTTCAGCTCGAAAAGTGCTCTACAAATAAAGATATAATAAATGTACAGTAATCCATATGACAAAATGATACATTAAGAGAAGGAGAGACAGGGAGAGATGCACGGCAAACAGTAAGCTACAATAACACTGATTTTAGTAATATTGTGACAACTTCTGCTTAACATAGGACAAGTAGAAGTTGTCACAATAGTGTCAGAAGTGGGATAGCTAACTCACTAATGGTGCAAACTATAAATTAACACACAAGTGACAATAACTAGCATAAATCATCATGTACTGAGCAGACACACCATCATAGACAATAACAAAAAATGACATTTACCTAATAGAACAGAAAGTACAAACTACTCAGTCCAGCATGCTGGAAAATGTGGGTGTTGTACAATATTGTAATAATAATGATAGTATTTTGGTAGTATATATGTTATGTGTATCTATTAATATATGATAGTATGTGACAATAATAATCATATGAGTATAATAATAGTAGAAGTATGACTAATAATAACAGTGGTAGTCGTCGGCATCAGGCAGGACCACGACAGCAGCACAACCACGACCTGTGATCCAAGCGTAGCAACCACGACCCACAATCTAGGTGCAGCCGCCATTCGAGGGAACCTGAGAAACAATGGAGCACAAAGGCTCTAGAGAAGACGCTGAGATAGTGACAAGTAGTAATAGGACATGAATCTTAGCAAATGAAGAAGAACCAATTTTACAGGATCTGAGAGCAGGCTTTTCATCACTTCCAGGACATTTATCTATTAAGAATTAGTGTTAAGCGGTTTAACAAGAATAACTTAAATTACCATGAGACCTATGCAAGCAACAAACACAATACACAGGACCAACAGCACAGAGCTAAGCAGCGCAGTAAATATACACTGGAACAGATTTACAAATAAAGTTGTACTGTTGTTAGGATTCTCAAATGTATTTGGAAAACTTAATCATATAAAACTGTATTCAGTCCATTTTTTCAAACAACCAAGTGGATCTAGAGTTACAAGATGTACTTAGGTGCAATTTTCCATTTTAATGAAATGAGATCATGTTAATATTTGCTTTCATTTCCCTTCTAACAATTTAATAAAACCATAAGTGAAGAGCATCACTCTAAATGTTTCCTGTGCAGATTCAGGAGCACAACAGATGCAGCATTGTTTTAAAGCTAACCCGATAACCTTTACTGAAGGGATTTAGCTGTGTAGTGTTTACAGGGTAGTTCATGTGTTAGCACTCAAGCACCTTAGATCTGAAAGTAAATAAGGGAGAACCAACTTCTCAACTACTTCATACAACTTTGATTGATTTTATTTTCAGTGTTATGTGATTATATAGGTTTTTATTTCTGATGTGCTGTAAGTCTTTTATTAATAAATACTAAAATGTGAGGACACATACAAGTCACAAATCTACGGGTTTGCGGGTAACGTGTGGTCTCACTTTCTGTTATTGAGCTAAAACCGTCACATGAATGCCTGATAATGCTGAACTGTGTCTCTGTGTTTCGCCCAACAGCCCAAAGGTAAAGTTGGCACAAAGGGCAAGAAGCAGATCTACGAGGAGAATGAGGCGACACTGAAGTTCTACACCAGAGTCATCCTCGGAGCTAACGTAAGAACCTCAAGGCTTTTTGTGTGTTGTCTCAGTCAAAATAAATGTTTAAATGACACTGTAGTCCATCTCATCTCCAATGAATGGATTCACATTTACATTCACTGATGTGTTTGTTTTAACCTTATTCTCACTGGATCGAGGTTTATTTATTGTTTTAAAAACTACAGTTCCTCAAACCTGTATTTTTTTTAAATTTCTTTTAAGAATTTTTTTGGGGCTTTTGCCTTTAATTGATGGGACAGTATTAAGTGTGAAAGGGGAAAAAAGAAGAGGGGTATGAAATGCAGCAAAGGGCTGCAGGTTGGAGTCGAACTAACTGCTGTGGCAAGGAAATTGCCTTTGCATATGAGACGCCTGCTCTAATCACAGAGCTACTGGGTGCCCCAAATCTGTATTGTGTCATGTTTGTGTGTGAGACCCAATTTTACACTTGATAATTCAGGTGTGTTGCATTACTTTATGCCTTACATCTAGTTTTAATGTTTTACTTTTAAATTCAAAATCACATAAAATCAAAGTAACTTTGTTAGTCCGTTACAAAGTTGTGCATGTGTGTAAAAACATCAGTGCATACACAACACATTCAACCGGACAAACAATAAAACATTATTTCACATCACACTGTGCAGATTGCAAGTTAAGATGTCCACCCTTAATAATGCTAAAAATATTCAGAAATGAATAATAAATACGGGACAAGCTCACAGGTTAGTTCAAGGATGAATGAGTTTGATAAAAGTAGGCACAAAACTCGATATGGCGACTTGGTCTTGAGTTGGAGTGACCTTTATCTGTGGCCTGAGGGCACGTGACTGTATTGGTTGTGTAGTTCTATTAATAATTTTTAATTGTGATAACAATAAATACGTTTTTTTAATCAGTAAATTATCAAAATTCAATTGTGAACAGTGTTTTTCCTGAACAATGAAGACACATCATACAAAAATAATGCAGTCCTACTCATTGGTTTGCAGTGGCCTAATATTACCAGAGACATTAAAGAAATTAATACTTTGACAAAAATCGTATAGACGATGGATTATAATGTAAGGCTGCAACTAACAGTTCTTTTCATAACTGATTAATCTGCCCAGTACTTTCTCCATTAATCGAGTAATTGTATAATTATTTAGTTTATTAAAAGTTAGTGGCTCATTTAATCAAATCACCACATTTGAGAACCTGGAACGAAATAACATTGGCGTGTTTGCTTGAAAAATGACTGAATGACTGATATATTAACAAACAAATTTTGTGTTGATGGATTAATTGACTAATCGACTAATTGTTGTAGCTCTATTATACTGTCTTGTCTTCCAGTCCCATTTCAAATATACTGCTTTTCCTCCGCAGGCAATATATGCTGCAGTAAATCTTATGGTTTTCTACAGTTCGTCGACATTTTGGACATGGGTAAGTGTATTTAATCAAGATTATTTAAAATGTCACCATCCACAGCTCTAATGTACCCGAACCTAACACCTTGTTTGCCTCCTGTAGCTGCTGCTTGGGTTCGCACTAGCAGTGTATGTCGGGAGTTACCGCTCCATGTCTGCGATGGCCAAGCCAGTGTTTGCTGAGGATGGAAGTCTACTGGATGGAGGAATAGACTTGAACATGGAGCAGGGAATGGCAGAGTAAGTTACGCCTCACATCTATACAGAACTCTAATATACTGGGAAGAGAAGCTCCGTCTATGAAAACAATGTGAATATGTTGAACAACTTGGGCATGCATGTGGGCTTATATTCAGGTTTGTTTTAAATCAAACTAGTGCTGCACGATTAATCTAATAGCAGTCGCAATCGCGATGTCAGGCTGTGCGATTACATAACCGCATAAAAGGCTGCGATTTGCGATTTAATGTAGGTTAAATAAATGTTAACGTGTGTGCCTGTGAACGTGACTGCCTCTCCTGTAGTGTGTGGAGTTTGTTGACATCACACCCACAAGCTATCCTGGTGCATGCAGCCGGCGTGCAACAGTGACCAACACAGACGCTGAAGAAGAGCATGAGCTCGACCATGAACAGGCTGAGTTGGTGGCGAAAAAAACGTCTGTTACATGGCAATACTTTGGATTTAGGTACGGCGACGTTGAACAGAAAGACGTGCTGTGTAAGTGTAAAAGTTAAAGTTGCCACGTCCCGCGGCAACACGACCAATCTATATCAACACTTGAGACAGCACAGGGAAAAGTAGGAAGAGTGTGCATGAGAGAGAAAGCCAAGCCGTGTAACGTTAAAGACAATGAGACAACTGAAAGCCGCCAGAGCCTCATAAAACAACATCCAAGCACAGTTGAGCAAACATTTGTAAGTGTCACAGGGAAATCATGGACTCCATAACAAATGAAAAATTGAGCAATTTTGCTAGGTTTCAGCCCACTTGACATGCTGCTGTGTTGTGCTATGGCGCTGGAATTTGTCATTTACGTGACAACGCCTGAACGCAACATATGCTAGCTCCACTGTGTGTACAGTTCTGTGCTGCGCTGCTGTGTGAGCAGCGTGTTTGACTGTGCTCAGTCTGTTGATGGTCACTGACACACTGTCTGTCCATAACAATAACTATGTCAGGTCACTGCCCCCCTAATATAATGTAGGGGAAACATCAAGCAAAAAGACTCATGATACCATTTATTTATGACATTTTATTGTAATTATATTGTAATCGCAATCGCAAATCGCGATATTGTCCACCATAATCGCAATCGCACATTTTTACCAAATCGTGCAGCACTAAATCAAACCAGAGTTGGTGATTGTTGCAGTATTGTGAATTTTATGTTGTTTACACCGACTCTGAATGAAGCATGTTTTACAATGATAAAATAACTGTTTATTCTGGTGGGTTTGACAATAGCGATTTCAGTGCTGTATCTGATTAAACAAGTAGGATCTTACATTTTAACAAAGAGGTCTGTCTCTGCAGGGCTCCTTTCCATAATGTTGTCAGACACTTCAAACAATTTGAGCCTGTCAGTGTCAAAAACAGCACTTTAGTGGACGTACAGTGAGGATGCACAATTGTCCATTAACATTACATTGCAGCCTGTTCTGCTGCCTGGCTGCAGTGGTCTTGCTCAATACCGGACCAATTTTGAAAATACTTGCTCTCATTAGTCACTTAGACTCAAAAACATGGGAAAATAGGATCCAGGTTGAAAAAAAATTGAAGTTACCCTTTAATCTAAAAGTATGAAAATAAATACCAGTCACATTTTTATTTATTTTTTTTGTCTCGTTCAAAAACCACTGAATTCATTTTGTCCCCAAACATCTGAAACTAAACCTACACCCTTGCTGAAGAGCAAAAAGTTCTTGTGTGTGTGCAGAAACATGCAACTCTTTGGTGATAATTTATTGCATGTGTGTTCTGGTTGTAGGCACCTGAAGGACGTCATCCTGCTCACAGCCATAGTACAAGTCCTCAGCACAATCTCCTCTTATTTCTGGTATCTTTGGCTGCTGGTAAGATGATGTTCTGTGTCTTTGATAACTCCTATGAGATCGCTGTTACTTCTCTGCTTGATTCCTTTCCTTTTCTGCTTTCCTCACGTCTCATAATTTGCTCCTGTGTGTGTGTGTCAGGCCCCGGCCCGAGCCCTCCACCTGCTGTGGGTGAACTTCCTGGGCCCCTGGTTTATGGCAGAAAGCCCGTCGGCACCAGAGGAAGTGAATGAGAAAAAGCAGAGAAGACAAGAGCGCAGACAGATGAAGAGATTCTGATGCTGCAGGACAGACGGAGCAGTATTTTTATAGAATCTAATATACAGATAGCGAGGAACTGATAAGTTATTCAGGAAGAAATTTTTGTTATTAAATTAAACTCAATTATAATCTGATACTGTGGAATCTTGTTTTCCATGTTTGTTTTCTTCCTGCTTTCTCCTGTAATCCGATTTTCTCCCCAAATCACAAATACGAAATGTTCCATGTTTAGATAATGTCATGGTCCAAATGTCATTTGTCCGCCTCATGCAGAGATATAAGTTTTTTTGCTGTTGCACAATCTCATGGCACTGCCCCCTGCAGTTTTACCTCAAACGTCCCCCCTGTTTACCCACACGATCCAGTGACGTAACGGAGTCAGAACCATGGCCAGCTGAATTTATTCTGTCAGTGCCACTTTTCTCATGGCATGTCTTAATTTTTTATCTAATTTTATTTTTCCAAAATGTTTCACATGCAACAGAATCCGTCGGCGAGCCTTCATTACAGAGCTGATTTTGTTTGTGACCTGTTGAGTCTTATAAAAATCAACTGGATATAAATGGCGTTTTAATAGGAAAATAACTTTTTGCAATAAAAATCTTCCTCCAGTGTATGGAGTTGATCATGTGTTTCAAATAGTTTGATTTTTCTGTGTGTCAGTTTTGTTAATGTTCGGCATTCAGGCATGACTTAAAGGTTGTGCAAAGGTTAGCAGCAAACCACTATTTGCTATGTAAAGATTTAGTGGAGTAATGATGTCCTGAGCAGAGAATGAAATCACGCTACCTCTGTGTGTGTGTGTGTCATCACCACCGATCTGTCTTTTGCTCATATCATGGTTACCGCTGATGTCGGGATGGCATTGTCGCAGAAGAGTAGCACCCACCCTCAGGTTTCCCTCGGTTAATGCTGTTAGCTCCATCAGCACTGTTTATGGAGTTAGCACTCTTACCTGTTAGCAACCAGCTCAGCCTCCTCCATGTTGAGATCTGTGTCCACACAACTTGTGGGCTCTGATGTGCACAAAGCTTCTTAAAAATACTGAGCAATTATTTTCATTTTATCCAAAGGAGGCTAAAATGTGCTTGTAGTGTCCTAATTAAATCATTAGAGCATAGGAAACAATTGTTTATGGCTCGGTCTTACATACTACTAGAAGTTATAATGTAATTTGATACAGAAATGTGGAATTTTAGCCTCCTAAATCACAAGTAGGAATGTACAGTCAAAGTTAAAATCAAGTGTACCGCTAAGGCCATGGCAGTTCACACTGGAGCATCCATGTTTTCCGCTAAAGGCAACTATAAGTAGTTGTAACATATCATAGTTATGTTTTTAAAAGATACTTAGTTAAGTTCTGTTGCTTGAGCTATTGATCTTAGTTAATTATTTGCTTTTCTTAACCACTTAACTATTTTTACATCATTACGTCATTTTATCTTTTGCATTTTTATTCAAGTGTAAACAATCCTATGAAAACTGCTATCGGGGCCATCTTTTTGGTTTGGCAACAATAGCACAGTCCGCTCATCTATATGGACATGTACACTTTTTCAGCAGAGGTTAGAGTTGGTTTATGCATTGATTTGGTGTCCTGGTTTTCCTTTCATTTATGAGGAGCCGTCAGGATTAGTGGTGATGGCATGATTGCATGCTTTTACCCATGTAAAGATGTGTACAACGTGATTCAAAAAGACACTTGAATGTTTAAACTTTTAACATTTTAGCCATTTTGGGGCTGTAGCCATAGACTGTATAAAATAATGGGCGTAGCTACCACAACATCAGCCATTGGTTTGTACACTCCCATTTTGAAGCCTCCAGTTCAGCATTTCCGCTGTTGCCATCTTGGTTTTTGGAGCCAGAAGTGCTCGTATTTGGATGAAAGGGTGGAGCTGATTCATAGACTGTAGCTACACCTCACAGACAGCTTGTCACTCAAGCGGCAGAGTTAAAAATTAAAAATTCCTCCCCTTCACAGTTGTCATGTATGTTGAAACTAGCTATAGAGATCAAACCATTTTTTGTGGCTGTGACTGAAGGCTGTAGGTCTATGGAGGTCTAGGGGAGGGGATTGACTCGCTTCTGGAGCCAGCCTCAAGTGGCCATTCAGGGAACTGCAGTTTTTGGCTTTATTCTTCAGCCTCAGACGTTGCTGCTTGTCCAACATCCAGATATATTTATTTTTCTTGATAAATGACTGAAACAAATGATTATAGTTATCATAACTGTTGTCTAATTTTCTGTTGATTAACTAATTAAGCCATTGCTTCAGCACTACTATAGTTTTAAATGACCATAATCCAGTGTGTTTTAGATGAAGTTCTCAATCCAAATAGAGCAGGGGTAGGCAACCTGCAGCTCTGGAGCCACATGCAGCTCTTTAGCCCCTCTCCAGTGGCTCCCAGTGGCTCATTCTTGTAGGCCTAAACAAATTATGCACCTATGCACCAAAAATAAAAAAATGTTTAAATATTTCATCGACAAAAATGTGCTTCAAACTTCCACAGCCTGGCACCTATTACTCCTATTCTTGCCAAACCTCAAGAGTTTTGACTTGTCTTAAATCTTCCTCGCTAGGCTAGCTATGTTTTGAAATCCAAAAAAGTAAAAGTCTCAGAGGTGAAGTGAGAATTTAACAGTATATGGACAGCCTCATTTGCTTTCACTGCCAACTCTGCAAAGTTAAAGTTCCAAATAATCATAAAGAGCCCACTGCAGAGTGACCGCCACATAGTAAAACATATTAATGAATGCTCATTTAGACCTATTAATAATGTTGACTGGCTAATTTAGATCTAATGTTACCTCCTTTATAAGGTTCAAATATGTTCAGGTTCAAATCATGTCAGACAAATTAAGTGGAACATCACATTAAAGTTACTGGCTGCAACATTTCAAACATCATCACCAGCCTCTATTTTCAGTGGCTCTTGAAACTCCTCACATATTTGAGATTAAAGATTTAAGATTAGAGTTAACAACTCAGCGCTCAGATGACAGTTTAATCCCCAAATACTGAAGAGATGTCAGCCACTTGGTGCGCAGCTACATTCAACGTCTCTGTCTCCATCCGATGAGTTGAGCCTCGTCCTCGGGGGAAAAAAATGTTGTTTTTTATCAAGCCTGCTAAGTGATTTTATATTTTCTATCTAGTGTTGACAAAGCGTATTTAGTGATTATGTTCATGCTCAGACTCCAAAGACAGTGAGTGGGCTGGCAAAGCCCACATCTGCTCCCAATATAATTACAGATTTCTTATTTTTGTTTCATGCATGTTCAACAAGCTGCAACCTGTAGGCTCCAGGTTTGAAGAGGAATCACTGCAATGGTGTGAATCCAGTTGAAAGAAAACAGCAAGGTATTTACAGTGTTTGCCTTAATTTAATACACACAGGAATTCAAACAGCTCTTTTTTTATTTACTGAACTTTATACTCTTCCTTAAATCCCCAGAAGCTTTTTCAAAATGACTGCTTTTACTTTGTGTCCTGCCCTCCTTCATTCCTGCCCTGTGGTCCTGTACTGTCTCTATTATAGGGTTATAAACAAAGTAACCAAAATTAGAGCAGCACGGAATCCAGTTGTCAGGGCTAATCCCAGATGTGGGCTTTGAGAGGGACCATGTTGCAGTGTAATTTAGCACTGGGGCCACTCACTTGCATGTAACCCCACCCCCTCAAAACTCACATATGTACTTTGTGTTTCCTAGCTGTGTTGTTGTCCATAGGAAGATGTGCAGAAACGTTGATTTTACATATTTATCTCAACCAAATGTCCACTCAGAAACTCCCCATGTGAAAGCTTTAAAACAATGTACCTTGTGGCTGGAAAAAGGACACATGGTGGTTTTTGTTTAAGCTTTTTCACATGCAAACTTTCTCTTTTCCCCCAAACACGACATTGTCTCTGCTCTTACTTTGAGGTGCAACACAAAACAGAGAAGTATCTCCTAAAATAACTTGCTGCATGTGAGAGTCCCTGTCTCGGCTGCTGATTTAAGATGGAGGAAAAAAAAGGAAAAGAGTGGGAGAGAGAGGTTCTTGTTTACCATGGCAGTAAAAAAGGGTTCATCCTGACAAGATGAAATAAGGGAGTTGAAGCTGCATTCCATTTTCCAGGCTTTGTGTGTAAAAAAAAAAAAAAACCCGGCCATTTAAACCCATTATACCTGCAAGAGGGTAATTCTTCAACTACAGTCTGTTATAGTCTGGAAACTTTTAGAAAATCTGACATATATTTAAAGAAATGTATTGATACAAACATTTCAGTATTATTCAGTGGTTATTATTATTATTTCAGTGGTATTCACTGGCATTGTCATTACATTACCTTATCTTCATTCATTCATCTTCTAACCACTTCATCCTCTTGAGGGTCGCAGGGGGGCTGGAGCCTATCCCAGCTGACATCAGGCGAGAGGCAGGGTACACCCTGGACAGGTCGCCAGACTATCGTAGAGACAAACAACCATTCACGCTCAATTAACCTAGTCTTTGGACTGTGGGAGGAAGCCGGAGTGCCCGGAGAGAACCCACGCTGACACGGGGGGAACAAGCAAACTCCGCACAGAAGGGCTCCCACACCCGGGATCGAACCGGCAACCCTCTTGCTGTGAGGCGACAGTGCTAACCACCACACCACCGTGCCACCCCATTACCTTATCTTTTTCATCAAAAGTGATGTGGACATTTTGTCACATAAAATAAGTTTTATGTTAGCTTGCTAATGTCAGTTTTAGCATGAGCATTAAATATTCACAAAATACACAATATGAAATGTTGTTTTTCTTCTTATTGTAGATTCAAAAGAAATATAAGCTGTTTGGAAGTGACAGCCAATCATCATATTCTTGATTTTACAAAAATCAACCTTGTTTTCTTCTTGTTTCAGTTCCCCTCATGGAGCTAACTGTCCCCCAGCCATGTGCTCTTCCTGAATTGGCATTTTGTACAGTGTGGTGGAAATGACAGTGACCCCAAAGGACAGGTCAGTGCAGTAGCATAAGGTAGATGCAATGGGCCCTAGTGCATGCTATTGTGCCTGAATGATTTTGTTACAAAGCTGCATAATTGCCTAGAGTTGGTTAGTGTTCTCACAGCAGCATTTACAAGCGGACCAGATAAAATGCCTTGTGCCAGAAAGCTGCTCTTGATTGGTCAGAATTTCCATGTGGGAAAAACCCAGGAAGTAAACAAAACGATGAAGAAGAGTACACTTGCAAGATAAATGTGACACTTTCTAATGTCACAATGGAGGGACAACTACGCAGGTTGATTTTAGCGCTGCTCATCGTGGACTATATTGCTGTCATTGTTCATTTTAGTCAAACCATACAGTTTGATAACGAGGTGCAGCTCCAACTAGAAAACAATGTTTTGGTGCATTGGATGTGCTGAATGTGCATATTAAGGCAGTACAGGAGGAGGTGCACATTAATAATCCTCCAGGACTGTAACATGCTCATGTTTAACCCAAACAATGTGTCATGTGACTGCAGTTGGTTCGACTCGAGAGATCATTTGTCATTTGTAACCGGTCCGAGACCACCTCTTCAAAAAGGTCTCGGTCTGGTTGTTTTGGTGCACACCCAAGTGCGATTGCTGTGTTCACACCTGCCCGA